CTTCATATTTGCAGGCGTCCCATGACACGGCCAGATGACAAGCCCGTGGCAAGTGTCAGGCCAATTCAGTCAACACCAATACCCATGATGCCTCGCCAGGTTGGCATGGGCATGGTTGGCTCCGGCTCTTCCGGCAGTCTCCCTGTCAACTTTCTCCAGAAAGCCGGTGTTTACGTGCAGAGGATTGTCACCACAACAGGTTATCATGATGTTTTTAAATGTTTAAATCACAATAAATAAATAAATAGTCAGATATTACATCCGCCATTTGTCTGGATTCACAGATATAGTGATCCCAGGAGCCAACAGCTCAACAGATGTTCAAGCTCGAATCAGCGCAGGAGAGAGCATCCATGTTATCAGAGGATCTAAAGGTTGGTTCAGTGCTGTATTAAGAACTCTGTGCATACAAACACTCATTTAAACGTCTCTCTTCACTTACTCTTTTCTGCAAAGCAGGTACCTACATCAGAACAAACGATGGACGAATATTTGCCATTCGATCTGGAAAGATCAGTCGACCTGTAGCCGGGGGTTCTGCTGCTTCAAGAGGTAGGGGTTTTCCTCTTTTGAATATATATATATATATTCAGATGTTTTGTCTCATTCATAAGACACAAGTATTTCTTATCTGATTAATCAGTGGAATAATCAGTAGAACACTTGATTTCTAAAATAATCGATAGCTGCAGTCTTACACTTAATCAAATTTAGATATTTCTCTTCTGGTCTGTAATGCTGTTTATCCATCCAAGTTGGGTACATCAGACACAAGGGAACAAGGCCAGAATTGACCTGGCAGGGACTCCAGTCTGGCCCACCTGATGTCATTGGAGGATCTAAAGCAGCGGTCCCCAACCTTTTTTGCGCCACGGACCGGTTTATGCCCGACAATATTTTCACGGACCGACCTTTAAGGTGTTGCGGATAAATACAACAAAATAAAACTAGTACCGGTACCAAAAAAAAGAAGATTTATTCATAACACACATGAAAAGACCAAGGAAAACTGAGTTAACAATAAAAAAGATAACAAAATAATGCTGAAAACCGATAAAAACCCTGAAAACCATACATTTGACACCTGAGCCTCAACTCTCGCGGCCTGGTACCAAACGACTCACGGACCGGTACCGGGGGTTGGGGACCGCTGATCTAAAGGAGGGCATAAATATTGGACTTTCAACAGTATTGTTATATAGCATTTCCTACTGATAAAGACCTCTTTGATTCTTTGAGGACCACAACATTTCATCTTGTTCCATTATATTTAAGAGAAGTTGGACAAACTGGGGAACTGTAGAAAAAAAGGTGAATTTGATTTGAGGGTGAACTGTCCCTTTAATCAGTGATCACGTTTGTGCAATGCACTACATCAAGTTTTTTAACAAGATTTTCAACTTATAACTTTGTCATTTTCTTTTCAGGATTGACCTTTCAAAATTAAATTCCCCAAAGACGGGTTCTCTGTGTAAGACTCCTGACATGTCTGCATTTCTGTCTTCTCTACAGACACCCAGGGTTCGGGGATCCGACCAGTCAGTAATGGCTGTTCTTCCCCTGTGGATCAAAACCAACGTTCCCCTAACGGCGAGCAGCGACCCTCTTCTCCCTTAGGCACGGAGATTCTCAGAGAGCTCAGCCATTACACCTCATCCACAGGCGACGCTGCTGCTGCTGGAGCAGGGAACGATTTGGCGTCGCCGTCAGACATGTCATCTGTGCCGTCGGGAGATGGAAATGCTTCACAAAACTATCAGGCCCGCGATCTCAGTAGGCTCGGTGACGACCTTCTGAGTTCATCTTTAGAGATGCGAGGCACCAAACGCAAGAGTACTGAAAGTCAGGGAAACGCACAAATGGGAGACAAATGTACTTCTGCTGCAGCTCATTTCCCTGCGCTTTCAGGTGGGCTCAGTTTTCCTCCAGTGGGTCTGAACTCTTCATCCCTACTTGGGAACCTTGGTCACATGAGTCACCCACTTCTAATGGCTGGTAGTGGTGGATCATCATTCTTACAAACACCAGGACAAACACTGGCTGACCTACAGACCATATTTCCCTCTGCAGGCACAGACCTACTGAGACAACCTGCCACAGGGAACGGGCACCTTCCCACCCCCTCCTCTTCTTCTCTGTCCACTATTTTCTCCTCTGCCTCTACCACCATTCCTATGTCATCTACATCCTCAGCAACAACTTCTTCCTCCCTACCATCTGGGTCTCTGCCTCGGTACTTGATGAACCCCAACATGGCTGGCCTGCTTTCACCAAGGTTCCCCCTCACCTTCAGTCAGCCATTGCTCTCTGAGCCGAGGTTGTTCTCCACGCCTCTTCTCTCAGGGTCAGGGGGGTTTTCTGCACCCAACTCCAGCTCGGCTACATCCAGCTTCCTGTCCCACTTCAACAATCCCACTTCCAGCCTGTTGGGGGCAGCTCTGACCCAACCAGACAGACATCAAAGTACAGAGAACGGCGGTGACAGTTCAGATGATGATGTTATTGAGGTGACAGGACAGTAAGTCAGGAGTCTCAGAAAGTGCTGGCAAGGCAGTTACACACATACACACCTGTTTAACCTAAAGTGCATTAGAAATGGGAATATTTCAATCTTTTATGCAACTAAATCAACTAAATTCTGTTGTACCCCCCAAAGTTGCGTGCTATTTTCTGAATTTGCTCTCAGAATGCAAATGAAGAGAAAAAAGTGCAACTTGATTAGATTGAAATGCATAAATAATAAAACTTCTCAGGAAGGATTTATGTTAATCCTGAACCTCTTAAATAGAATGAAGTTACCTGCTTTGACGTTATTTGGCAGTGTTTCACTTATGACTGAGCAAACAGTTCCACTGTTCACTTGGTCATAAGTGAAACAAATCTGAATTCCCATTTCTAATGATGTCATTAAATGTCACACATCAGGACGCTCACAAACAGCTCATACCTTATTGACTTTCCAGAGTCAAGAGTTACAAAATCCTCATGCTGACTGTCCCAAGTTGTTGAGCTGGAGCAGCATAGCAGTGGGAACAGACCTTTGTCATACGGGGACCAGCCGAATCTTTCAGGGAGGCAAAACAGCCTCTTTGTGCTACGTTTTAAAGCGAGGCTACGCGTGCAGTTTTCTTTCCTCTGACTTTAAATGAAAGTGATTTGAAACTTTTTTTTCATGGCCAGTTTCTTATTAAAAAGTGTAACAAAACTGGAACGCTACATGCCACAATAATGAGTAACACACAGTAGCTAATGGGTGGAGGGGATTGTGAAAATCCTCAATATATTGAGAGATGATCCTTCAAGGCTCACCTTTAACAACAGGAATTTTAGGCTTTCAAGCATATTTTAGTCTTTAGCAGTTTGATAGATATTGTAGCTCCCCTGTTAAAGGATATGTGTGATACTATAATTGAACATGTTGATACTTTGTAAATAAACAGTCATTATCATTGTTTATATTGCAAGTCAATACTGTGCAGTCTGTAGATTTTGGTCGTAAGGAAATGGTTTATTAACTCGGTGACAGTCATCATGATAAACCCACCCTGAGGATGCTGGGGAAGCAAATTTCTGTTTAACGTTGTATTTTTTTTCCCTTAAAATTAAAATGAATGTACTATCATGCTAGCCTTTGATAACACAGGGGCAGGGACATGGATTTGGACTGTGTTCTTTCATTTTTAGCCTTAAATAGACACAAAGGGGTCTTCAGTCTTAGCATTTATCTTATTTTTTTACAAATCCGTCCTACTGACCTCGACGCAAAACTCAAAATACAAATTTAAGGTAGATTTTGATTGAAAGCCAAAAGGAGCTCAAACCAAGGTTTAATGTTGCTAGCTTATTCGCAGAAGCCTGTCATTTCTCCTCCATTGCAGTTCTTACTGAAGTGTCCCCACCATTTAGTTCATGACTACTCAGTGAGCTTACACTCAACATGTAATCTCAGCTGCAGTAACTGTATTAGGGTTTTTCTTTCTGAGAACAAACGTTACCTGAGCTATAGAAACCATTGCATTCATGCAGCCTGAGAGCATCAAAATGTCGCTAATGTAGCCACCAACCATCAAACTAGATGTAACTACCCTTTCGGTACAACCGCCTGTGACTGTGGCAGAACCGGGTCAGGTGATATGGTGGCCTTACAAAACTGACAGTGCCATAATGTGGTAGCTTTTCACCTCAGTGCAGTGCAGTGTAAGTAGCTTCTGTCAGTAGTGTCAGTCAGTGTAGATATGCAGTGCTTTAGGGAGTTTGGGTCTTCACTGTTCTCCGTAGCCTTGTGTTTCTGTGTTATCATGTCACCTTGAGCTAATTAGTTTTAGGAAAGTCGCTTTCCTATGTTGGTAAACTAGGCTAGATGCAGTGCTTATTAGCCTTTAGAGACACTGGATAACCTGAGACAACAGATCATTCCCTGTTGAGTTACGTTATTCGTATGCGTTTTATTCTGGGGATCTTCTCTCTCCCCTGTTGAGTACTGTTCTTTTTTATTTGCTGCAGGCTTCCTCTGTCAGCTTGGATACTTTTATTTCTCCCCCCCTTCAGTTTTTCTTGAACACATCTTGGGAACTTGTGATTTGGTTTGTTTCCAATTTGAAGGTAAAGCTAGCACTTTGTAAAAGGACCATATCTGCTTGTGAGCTGTACAAGGTACAAAATAATGACCCCGTGTCTTTGTTACGTCTTCTCGATCAGTTGGAAATGCTTTACATCTTTTGTTCTTTGGAATATTTCATTCATTTACAAAAAAAACAACAAAACAATCTTTGGTGTTCACCTAGCAGTCATGTCCCTCATTACACTCTAAATATCTGAAATGTATTTATTTATGATGGGAAATGTTGTTTTTGTAATTACATTTTTTAACTTCTTTTTTTCCGATTTGTCCCATTAATGGCTGATCCAGTAAGATTTTCATACATGCAGCCTAAACCGAAGCAAAATATGACTGTGTTATCAATGTTATTTTAACAATAAAACACTCTTCTATCACAGTGTCAATCATACACAAATACATTTATTTTAAAAGCCATGATGTATCCAAACGTGACAGTACAAATAATCAGAAATGACAGGATCATCAGTAACCTGAGAAGAGGTCAACGTTATTTCAATGTTAGGTCAATATACAGTATATTATGGATAAAAGAAGATCCCATTACATTTTTTTAAAAATCCTGATGGGTTTTTTTCCTTAAAATTATAAGACAGGACATTGGCCTGGGCAGAGGAAATTCTCTCTTTCGTATCTTTAAATCAGATGGCGCTCAAGTCACATGTCAAGCAAGAGACTAAAGCAGCAGTCAGCAGCTCTAATTACAGCCTGACTGATTTATCGGCTAACCAGTATTATTGTCCAATATTAGGTATTTGCTTATCTATAAATGAATGAAAACTTTAAAAGTTTAAAAGACGGAGAAACATCCTTCAACTATATTGAGAGTGCTGATTTTGCAGAAGGCACCCTGCACCTTCCATGTTTGGAACACCACAAACACCAGTTGATCCGAAGAGAGCATAAACAAGTAAATAAATGGTGTGTGTACATTCATACATGTATATACACACATATCATTCTTTAAAATTCCTTATTGAATAAGTACTAGCTCCAACATTCCACCCTTTGCAAGCATGAGATCTATGTTTGTTGGTTTAAAACTGCAACATTTTCTACTTAACACAAAAACTTTGATCATTAAGTTAAAGCTAACATCAAGTAGCAGAAACTAAACAAACAAGCCAGACAACAGCTTTGGTAGCATCTACTCCAAAATTAGAGGCCAACTGGTGTCAGCTTTTTTAAAGAACAATACAAATGCTGATAGTTGATATAAAAATCTAATATCCAATAAATGTGCCAATATTTTATTTTCTTTCAACATTTAACGTTGATGTGTAGTTATTTATTTACTCGCTTACACTCTTCTCGACACTCAAAATATAAAGGCTGCTTCCTCTGTCTCATCTTTAATTCTCATTTACTGGCTATTACAAATGCTGATAGTATTAAGATCAGCAAATAGCTGATCTTTGTTGATAACTCAAAATCCAAGAAAGACTACATAAGACATGACCTCAGTGTATTGAAAAAGGATTTCATTAATCACAATGCCTTTTCTTCTTCAAAAACAAACAAACAAAAAAACATCAGTCAAATAAGTCAAAATCTGTGAGGCTAGCTCATCTTAAGTTCTTTTACATCCTCATCAGGACTGGAACCGTTTTTTAGCCATGTAAGATCTGGAGACTTGGTTCATTATGACCAAGGCACTGAGCACCAGGCAGAGTGCTGACAGGTACCAGGTGTATTCTCTGACAGCTCCAGCGAACCACACAGAGCAGAGGCCCAGGAGCATGCTGGCACTGCCAAGCAGGTAGGTGATGAGTCCAGACGCCGCGTGGTAGCGCTTAAGTTTGGCGAGGGACCAGCCTTTGGCTAGAGAAGGATAACTGAGAGGCATCGCTGCCAAGGACTGCGCAATGACCACACACACTGTCAGCAGGCCCAACAGACCGTGCCACGAGGTGAAGTGGGGTTTACCACTCAGGTGTTTGTTATAAAAGATGGCAGCAAAGCCCAGGACTGCACAAGAAGCACAGAGGCCCTGCAGGAGCCGGTGAACACCACCTTTGGTTTTGTGTGAAAAACTTTTGATAGGAGAGCCCTCAGGTGAGAAGAGGAGTATAGCTTCTGTCATGAAGAAGGAAAACTGGAGGGAAAGGACATTACCTGAGTCGTTGGCAAATTTGATCAATTAAAGAATCTAAGAACATTTTAACTGTTTAAACTTACAGCTAGGGTCATCAAGAAAGGATGCCAAGAAAACCAACCTAAAACAAAACAGGAAATCAAATTAAATGCGATGCAATGACGGGCACTGCTGTAGAAATGTGATTACTTAAGGCACTCACTTGTACCAGGTCGAGAGAGAACTGAGATGAAGACAGTGATGCCAAAGCAGATGAGGTGGGTCAACACAACAGACGCTGTTCTGGTAAAGCCATAAAGCCGAGGCTCTGATTCAGGCTCTTTCTTGTGAACCATGTCTTTAAAATTCACTCAATGGCCACAATGTGACCGACGTGAACTCGCCGTTGGCTGAATCAATGAGAAGCGGAAGTGACGATGGGCCAAAAGTCCTTGCGTTATCTTCTTTTGCTGCTCTACTGTTTTATTTAACAACCCGGCACAAACAAAAGCCTACATTAGTAATTTATTAACATGTCCCTTGTCGTTACGTTAACACACGTCAAGCTTTGGTGTTTTCCCCCAGCGAGGATAAGACTTCCGGTTAGGTTTTTCAAAATAAAGTACGCTGGAGCACATCCGCACAAACGTTCATCCGGAGGCTCTGTAACATGTCAGCTGATTTACCTGAATTTGATAGCCCCACATTGTCAAATAATACAATAAAGATTTTCGTTATTAACATCTGGTCCGACTGTGTCAAATTTGACACGGTTCTTCTACTACTATTATTTCTTCTTCCACTTCTTCTTTTTCTTTTCTTTTAGTTGTTCCCTTTATGGGTCAGAGTCAGATTTATTGTCACATCAGAGATTAACAAAACTAAAAAGTGGGTGAAAAACTTTTTGTTTCAGAACAGATCAGCAGAAACACGGTGAGACACCACATTTTATATATGCTCAAATGCATTATTAAAAGAGCATATGTCTGACATCAAAATAGCAATAAAAATAAAAGTAAATTAGTAGGTCGTAATTTATTCAGCAACCTGACAGCAGCGGGAAAATAGCTCTTTTGCATCCTGGTCATGTGCCTGAGGATGCATTTATAGTGTTTCCACATGATGATGATCCACTGTCGTTGACTTTTCCTTCTCGCAGCTTCATATCAAGCACATGCCCAAACCAGCGCAGCCTTGCTTCACTAACTCAACCTGAGCTGGTCTCACTACCATTTTGTAAGGGTCCCCTTTCATTCTTGCTGCCTGTCCATCTATCACAGATCATCCCTGATGCTCAACTTCATTATCTCTCTTATGCATTATTGTTTTAGAGGGTTGACCCCAGGTATTCACACTCATCCACTTTCACTGCCTCTGCTCCTTGCAGCTGTTACACCTGCTTCCCTCTCTGTCACACACATGCATTCTGTCTCAAAATTCACACGCAGTGCATTTCCCCTAAATATTGACTGAATTAGCCTCTCAAACACATGTATGTTACACAGTCCTGCACATAAACACATTTATCCTTATCCTGAATTAAATCATGTAAGTAAATAAGGTTATACCATACCAGATAGAGCATTAACCTTGGGTGCTGTAAATGATCTATTGATATAGGAGCATCTCCACAAGAGTTTTCATAACAATCGTTTCCTTGGCTTGTCTGATCTGAAAAATACAGACATAACATTTTAGCCCACCAGCCCAAGATCTGAGTTTTGTCTGATTAAACTGTAGTAGTCTGTGCAAAGACTCAGAAATAACTCAAATCCAAATAAAACGGCAATCTTGTTACATGGTAAAGCTTTTATTCTGAAACTGGAATTCCCACAATTCCTTTCATTTTATTCCAACCAGCTTAACCGCCGGCTTCAGTTGGTGGCTGACGTGGACAGAGCATTGTAGTACAACCGCTTCTCAAAAAGTGCTTGAATACTTGCACGCGATTGCTGCCAGGCCCTTTAACACGTGGTCAAGGTCCTTGAAAAGGTGTATTTATCTCTAACAAAGTGGTTTTGTAGTTGTCGGTTATTGAGAAAATTCTGCACAATACATTTTGGTGCTATTAGATGCATCCCTCATGCTATTTATTGCACAGTGGATAAGAAGTGTGATCTAAAGTACCTAAAGCATTTCCTCAGTTTATGTTATATGTCAGACTAATGGCACCAGTTCCACACCCAGCACTTACTGGTCAGCTGCCTATTAGTTGTTGTGCTTCAATTACGCTGTAATAAGCTTGTGACTCTGCATGGCTTCCACACTTGCAGAGTCACAAAGAGCACAGAAAACAACAACATTGTCAGTCAGAGTATCTGTCTCCTCTCTCTGTCCTATACAATGCACACCACACAGGGTACTGCATGTCTTCACTGTTGCAGGCTTTAAAAATAAAGCTTCTTAAAAGGTAAGCATAAGCAGTAAAGTTGCTTTTGATTTTAGATGCTCACATTGTTGGTTCTTTAAAGGAGCAAGTAGACCTGGCAGGAATTTAAAGGGTATGATAACAGAATTATTTCCATAGTTAAGAAAGACAATTCACAACATCAAATCAAGTCAAGAACACTGTAGGCATGTCATTGTCAAAGTCTATAATCAAGACACACTTTCATGAATGGAAATACACAAGGCTTACAACAAAAAACAATGGTTACACTCAGAAACAGGAAGTTTAGACTGTGTTGGAGAACATCGAAAAGAGGTTGGACAGTTCTGGAAATAAATCTTTGTACAGATGAAACCAAGATTAACTTGTGTGGGATTGATAGGAAGAGAAAAGTGTGGAGGATGAGAGAAACGGCTCATACTACGTCATCTATCAGACATGGAGACAATATTATGACATGAGCATGTACGACTGCCAGTGGACCCAGGTCAGCAGTGTTTCTTGTAGATGCGACTACTTATAGAACTAGTAGGATGAACTTTGAAGTGCACAGGGCTATACTCTCTGCCAAATGCTGCAAAACTGATCAGACTATACTTCACAGTACAAATGGATAATAGCTCAAAGCATACTGAAAGAGCAACCCAAACGTTTCTGATTGCAAAGAAATTAAATAGTCTTCAATGGTCAAGTCAGTCACCTTATCTTGACTTAGTTCAATAGAGCATGTTTTCAGTTAACTGAAGAGAAAACTAAATGAAAGAGACTGAAAAAAAGCAAAAGACTCATTCTTTTTTTTCTTTTTTCTTTTTTGCCTGTCCCGTTTGGATCTTTAGCCAACAGAATTGTTGTCTGAAGGCCAAAAAAGATGCCTAGCAAATTTACTTTACCAAGTGGATCATCATGGCCTTGCCATATTGGTCCAATTGATTGACCTTTATTATAATTATATATTTATTTGATTTTATTTTCAGTTGTTCCAGGCGGGACAGAGATGACTGGGGGATAGGACAGGGAGAAAGAAAGAATGAAAGAAAGAGAGGGAGAGAAAGACAAACAGGGAAGAAGAGATAGTGAGAAAGGAGGGAAGAAAGAAAGAAAGAAAAACACCTGGATCACCTGTTGAGAGAAGAAAAAAACAGAAGAGAAAACAAACAAAAAAGAGCAACATAATAAATATAACACTATCACAATAAACTAGCTAACAGTAGATAACAGTAGATACTAAATATTAAATGTTATTGTGCAGCACGCAAGATCAACAGGGCACAATGTGCTTTGAGGTAGCAGCCAAGAAAGGTGTAGTTTGTGTCTGTGAACACCTGTGTGGATCAGCACACTTGTATTCAAAAGGTTTCTTCATGTAACGATCTGCTTGGGAGTGTGGGGAGCCATAGCCCTGTCCCCCAGGGCATGAAGCAGGTATGGAGGAGATCTAGGTCCCAGACATCCAGAGGGCCCAGAGTACGAGGACCCAAGGAGGACCACCAAAGGGGCACCCTCATGGGAAGAGCTGAGGAGAGCCCCAGATGAGGGATCACCCAGCAGCCACGGAGCCGAGGCCAGAGGGGGTTGCAGTGACGTGGCTCTTTTTTTGCAGAGCCCAAAAGACCCATTCAAGTGACAGATTTCCATGACTAGGTTGTACATGTACAATGACAATAAAGGGCTATTCTATTCTTCTATTCTATTTCTTCATTAAGCCATAAATTCCCTTCCTTTTTTATCTGTTCTGATGTTCCAGAGCTGTGGACCTTTAACTGTGAAAATGCTGTTTTCTGTTTGGCTGGTTTTTAGTCGTTACTAACTGTAGAGAAATTATCTCACGCCGTCTTGTAGCTTCAGATGTGCCTTACTCCCATTTGTGAGAAACAGAGAGTGAGCGTGTGGGACATGAATAAATCATGTTATGGTATTCTAACATGCATTTCTGGCCTGAGAGAATCTGCCATATTGGAGCCTGGAAGGTTTTTTTTTCCTCTCTGACTGATTTGCAGTTCAAGTGTCCCCAAATCAAAAATGAATCATTCTGTTCATTTCAAACACTACTGTTTTATTATGGACTAAAAGATTATTATTAAGAATTAATTTTGTTATTCAGAATTAAACAGTTAAATTATTATTATTTTTAAATGATCGCTACTCTTTCTGATACAGCAACATTTATTAAATACTGGGTTTTGTTGTCAAAGGAATTTCCCAAATGAAATGCGTCATTCAGCAACAACGCAGAGATGAAAAAATAATAATAAACTTATTTAGTAGCCGTTTATATTTAATTTACGATCTTTTTATTTATTTTAACATCCTGCAAAAGCTATCATCAGTATCATCAAGAACAGCTCCCACTTACAACTCCATCTAACAGTCGAGTGTCTGATGAGAACAGAGGGGACTCCTCTCGGTGTAGCTTAATACTCATATGGGATTATACGGTAATCCCACACCCACAATGTGCATGCGCAAACAGAAGTGCGTGCGTCGGACGAGGGACGGGTCGCTGTTAATTCAACGAGAAGCTGCGAACGCTCTTCAGATTCCCTGTAGAATGAGTGTTGGTGATAAAGTAAGCGAGGTAAGGTCATCTTCAACACTTTGTCTTTCAAAAAATACGAATTTTTGCTCGGGTGTGACTGTCAACTTGAGTTTGTCGTCCCGTCTCAGACTGCGGGATTAACTCCGTTACACGCAGAGCTGCATTAAGCAAAACAGATGACCAATGAAACAATAAGATGTCGTGAAGACTTAAGCATACATGACTTCGACTGGTAAACAAACCGATAAGACCCCCCATAATAAATAAATTGCATGGATGCTTATGGACGGTTACAATGGGCTCTTGTTGCCCTGTGTGAATAATTGCACCGTGTGGTGACCCACTTGGCAGACAGACTCCCGGGTATTCATATTCACGGCACAAAGCAGCTCCACAAGGACACTAATTTAAAGAGATCCAGATGAACCTGTGAGCATGTACACTTATTCTTCCTAGTGGTATTTGACTTTATTATCATTACTATTATTATTATTATCAGTTTCTGCAGCTCAGAGATCAACACTGGCAAGCAGTGTGCACATGCTGTCTGTCTCAGCTGAATGATGTATTCAGGTTCTTCAAAGTAAACTGACAATTATCAACAAAAAGCATGAGCCATGTGGTTGTTACTGAAGTTGCCAGTTGTT